GCGACCTGGCAGGTAAACAAGCCGACCACGCAGTCGGAATCGGCAAACAGGCCGCGGAGACAGACCGCGGCGGGGCGGGGCGGGCAGAAGGGACGCGCTGACAATCGGCCGGATAATGGGACTGAGATGCGCGGCAGTGCGGCAGCGCGGCAGCCCACCACAAAGGAGTCGCCATTAGAGACGCCGCAGTGGCCCTTCGAGCACTGTACACGCGCCGAAAACAACCGCGAAAAAAAGCAATGATTGCGGCTGTTGCGGTCGAAATGGGCGAGTTAGTCGGGGAAACGGTCCAGTCCAACAAAGGCGGAAGCGGAAGAAAGGTCGTTTAATCGAATTGCTAGTGACGGCTTGTCACGAACCGCTAAATAAGTCATTTAAGTGTGTCTGGGCTAAGAAAAAAGACAGGACAAAACGGAAACACGTAAGTGCGTGACAGAGCGTAAGCTCCGCGGTACAAAAACAGGTAATTTTGCGTTTTCTGACATTTTTTAACGTGTAACCCTGCAGACGCAAAGACCCCTTCGACGACGATGATGGTGATGCTTCTCGACGGACCACTCCCCTCCGAGTCCATCACCACTTTGTCCCACAACGGCCTTCTCTGCCCACGCTTTGCCGAAATACCTCACCGCTTCGCAGCAGCCCCGTGCGTCACTGTCACTCCCCGAGGAGCGGTATCCGACCGTCCGCGACCGTCCGCAGCGCCGAGGCTTTGTTGCTTTTTCACCATCGCCCCCCCCTTCCCCACCCCCTCCGCGGTGACGGCGGCCCCGTGTCCACCTTACCGCCCTGACCGCCCCTCCCCCTTCTAAACCACAGTCCATTATTATTCCAAGCCGTCCGGACGCATTCAGGCCTGAGCCAAACCGAACAAAATGAGCCTCCCACTCCTGTGGACTCTGCGGACAGGGACACCCCGCCCCACCCCGCCCCCTGCAGCCCCCGCTTTGTGGCCGGCCGGCCGAACGCGCGCCGTTCGAATGCGACGCTGGAAAAAGTTCCCAAAGGGCCCTTTGTCTCGCTGACGAGCGGCGGCAGGGGTAGCCGTCCCTTGTTGTCGGACGTTGCAGGCCGTCCGTCCGCGGCACCGCGGCACCGCGGCATGCTGGTAGCCAGCATTACCGCCGCCAAGATCACAGCCATGCCGTCGTCGCCGTCCTCGCCGTCGTCACAGAGCGCCTGCGGTGGAGGGGGTAGGCAGTCCCGTCGAGCGCGCGGGTGCCCTGGTTGCCTGCCCTGACGGGGCGCCGCCCCGCCCGCGCTGCCACCGCTCAGAGTCTGGCCGCCCCGCCCCGCCCCGCCCCGCGTGGCCGCATGCCGGGCACGTACCTTGCTGGGGGCTCTGAGTGCTCCGGGCTGGCCGGCGGCCCAACACGTTACCAAAAGTGGGGCCCCCAGGGGATGGTGCGGGCAGAAAGGCAGAAAGAGGCCGGCCGATTGATTCCCGCGCTGCAGTCGCGGGGGAGTGGCGGCGGTGGTGGTGGTAGTGGTGGTGGCAGCTCGACAGCGTCCTCGTGAACCACGCGGCCGACGGCGACAAGCTCTCAATCGCGAGTAGGGAGGTGAAAGTGTGCCGAATAAGTTGCTGTCACAAACTTAGACGGCCCAATGTATACAGCGGGGAGCCGGGCTGAGCGCGCGGCGAGGGCGGCGAGACCCCTGGAGTCGTGTCCTGTGACGTGCGCCGTGATGGAGGACACGTGGGAGGACACGCCAGGCGGGCAGGCGGGGCAAAGCCGGAGGGTAAAGGCAGCAATATGAAAGTGGGTAAATAGAGGGCCGCGAGCAGCACCAGCCCCGCACTCCACCCTCTCATTGGCTCAGTACCCTGTCAACAACTCGAGCACCTCTTGGGCCCTACACTGTCAACAGGGCGCCGACACACACACGCGTGCTTGCACACACACACACACACTCAGGCCCACGCACACACCTGCACTCTGCAGGCTGAAGGCAGGCTTACGCCACACCGGCGGCAGCCAGCATGCAGTGCTCCGCGAGCAAAGACACGGCTGGGTGCTGGCTGGGGCTGGGTCGGTGGAAGTGCTAAAGTGGCTCGTTTTGGCGGATGTGAGGGATATTAAGGGCCGCAGGGCAGCGGGGCGCGCAGAGGCCGCCACCCCGGGCTGGGCCCTGGTCTGCGCCCCGGCTGCGCCCAGGCTGGGCCCTGCCCTGCTGCGGGTGACGAAGGTAATGGACAGCCCGACGGACGTGCTGCTAATGGGGGAGGGGGCGGACGGCGGGAGGGTGGCCGACGTGCCTGGCCTGGCCGGCCGCCGAGCCACCGCCACGCCGGCCGACTGCACGCCGCCACGGCGCGCTACAGTGCACACGCGTGACGCGAAGAGGAAATAATGCGCCAAGCGGCGGGCTGGCCGGGCTGCCCGGGCTGGCCTCGTTATCACGCGGGACGTGCTCGGTGCGCCGCGACGCCGCGACGCCGCGCTGGGTGCCGAGGTGCCGAATCGGAAAGGAAATAAAAAGCCCGCCGTGTTTGATCTTTGAGCCCGACAGCGGCACACAACGCACCGCGGTGCTGTCGAGGACGTCACGAAGCATTTGGCTGTTTTCCGTCCACCGTGTCGCACTTCGTGGCCTCGATGGCGGAGGCAAGAATCAAGTGCACGATGTACTTTTTTTTCAGGCAGTGGCCTGCTTTTCCCTCGATGGAAATGGGTATTGTGTAGGGCGCAGCATCCCCCGCCCTGCCTCGAGGGGATGGCTTCGCAAAGTGGCCTTTGCGGTTGTGTCTGGTTTTGTCGGCTGACCCTCGCCGCCCAGCCCACCCTGCTCACCCCGCTCGCCCCGCGGCGCTACCAGTGTGCAGCGAGCGCGGTGTAGGGCCTCGCGGGGAACATGCGCCGCCGTGCTCCCGATTCGCCGCCCTGGCCGTCGCCGTGGCCGTCGCCGGGGCCGCCGACAAGCGGAGCGAGTGACAACCTGACAAAAAGGCCGATGATTGCAGCGCGGGCTCGCCGTCCTCGAAGCACGCCGAAGCACGGACACCTGGAAATGGGAGTTTTCGTAAAGGTGGCGCTACCCCCGGATCGAAAGTCAGTCAGCAGCCCGACCTTCGCGCTGTCGCCACGTTGCCGCCCCTCCGTACACTTTGTCGAGCTGGTATACACAACGCGGGGCGCTCGGTGTGCTCGCCGGCTTACGGAAGGCCCTTCTCCACGTTTCGCTTTCGCCCTCCGCCGTCCACTCTTCGTCCTTCCCACGGAGGGGCTCGCAGGTCGCAGGATCCCTCTCTATTTACCTGGCGGCCGGGGCAAGTGGGTCTGAACGCACCGTAATCGGGTCTAGCCCGGCTTTCATTATTTTACCCGCGATGCGCCCCGCCGCCCCGCCCCGCCCCGCCCCGCCCCGCCCCGCCGCCAACAAAGACTTGTTGATTCTCGACGTGGCGGGCGCGGCGCGGGCGCTGCTTTAATCATTTCGGGGAAGTGGGCGTCGGTCCCCCGCATCATTCCGATGCCCGATCACGTTCGGGCCTCCAAGCGACGAATGCGTTGATTCATTTTTGCGCCGGATTTGGTGTGTTACAGGTGTGCTTTGAAAGAGGGGCCACCCCAGAATTTAATTTGCGAAATATGAAGAACCCCGCAAGCGCTGAAATAAGATTTCTGTAAGGACCTGGAAAAATGGTTTCGAACGACATCGACATTTTCGAAGTTTTGGGATCCACACGGAATGGCACCCGTTGAATTTCATAACAATTGCATTCCCCGTGCCACGCACTCAGCAACCTGGGCGTGGTGCGGAATCATTCTATGTATGAACGACTCCGATCGACGAGGCGCGCCCGCATTCGTCGTGAACTTCGCCACCACCCCAGTCCCCCCCCCCCTCTCCTTCCCGCCCCAATCTCTCTTCCGGGGACTCCCTCGACGCGCGGCTCGCGGGGGCGGGGCAAGGGCGGGGGCCACATATGTATGAGAGTCGGCGCTTTAATTCAGCAGCTCGTTTGGCAGCAGTGAGCGCTGCGTCGCGTCATCCAGCCCGATGCCACGCAACTTTGGAGACACACACACGAAAGAGAGAGAGAGAAAAAGAGAGAGAGAGAGAGAGAGAGAGAGAGAGAGAGAGAGAGAGAGAGAGAGAGCGCGCGCAGAGTGACTTCCGGCTTAGGGACGCGGGTGGCGGCGGATTGGCCCTGGGCGGGGAGGCACGGCGACGACGGCGGCAAGGCGGTGGCGCCTCTGCAGCACGACGGCGAGGACGAGGCGCGCGAGGAAGTTGGCGCCGCATTAAGACGAAGCAGTCGGGAGTTAAAGTACACCTTGAGCTGCTAGCTGCTGCTGCCGCCGCGGAATGATAAGTTTGGTAGTGCTCCTTTCTGGCCTCGTTGTGCTCCACTTGGCTGCTGCTGGTGCTGCTGGTGCGCGTTGCCGCCAGAATGGCGCGCGAAGAAAGCGCCTGGGAGTGTCCCTGATGGCGCTAAAGGTGCTGGAGGCCGTGCGGGCCGTCGGCGGGGATGGGGTTACAGCACAGGCAGTGGCAAGCACCGCGGCGTGGGGGAGAGGTGGCAGCCCCCCTCCCTCCGCAGTCCCACTTCCGAGGAGGCATTATTAGTTGATTATGAATGGGGAGCGCGCGGGAGGTAATTTATTAGCCCCGCCTGTTTACACGCCGTCACGCGCGTCGCGTTATCCCACGACGGCATCCTCGCCGCGGCCGAGGCGAGCCGAGGCGGCGCCCCTCTTAATGAGGAGAGGTGCCGCCTGTGTCTCCCTGTCGACGCTGACGTGCTGGGGTGTGCCACGGCGACGGGGCGTGGGTGTGTTTTATCCTGCTGTCGACGCCGACGTGCTGCTTGACGTGTTTTAACCTTGATGCTGACGTGCTTCTTGGCGTGCTGCAGGACGTGTTTTAACCTTAAGACGTGCTCCTTGGCGTGCCGCTGGAGGGCGTAGGCGTGTTTTCACCGTGTTGTCGACGCTGACGTGCTGCCTGGCGTGCCGGTGTTTTGACGTGACGTGCTCCTTGTTGTGCCGCAGGACGAGGGCGTGCCGCGGCTCGGCGCGACGTGACGCCGCCATGCCACCGACGCGGACGCACCGTACGCACCGTACGCACCGTCGGGACCGATGAACGACACCGAGTGCGCCGCGCTTCTGGAGAGCGCCGACTGGCACAGCCCGCGCCTCATCGTGGTCTTCGTCATCCTCGGCGTGGTGAACGTGATGGTGATCCTGGGCAACCTGCTCGTCATCGCCGCCGTCTACATCAGCTCCAAGCTGCGCACCGTCACCAACCTGTTCATCGTGTCGCTCGCCGTGGCCGACCTGCTGGTGGGCGTCGCCGTGCTGCCCTTCAGCTCCACGCTGGAGGTGTCCAAGGTCAGTGAGTCAACGGCGCCGCTGATTTGCGTGCCCGAGCCCCTCGCGCAGGCCCTTCTGGCCCTCGAGACCCGCGGCCCTTGAACCCCTCGAAGCCCTGCCCCTTATTGGCCAGCTGGAATCTGAGGCCGGCCGGTGGAACTGTGATTACCGCATCCCGCTGGCAACGCCCAGCAATGCCGGCCTCTTTCGAGGACATCGCCGCTCGCGCCCTGCGGTGGCCGGGCGCCTGGTGCAGACCGGCTGCGTCCAATGTGCCGCGCAGCCGCGTTTTGCAAGTGCTGCGACCAGGCCGGCCTGGGCGCTCTCCGCCCCGCCCCCGCACTGGATGGCGGCAAGGCCCGGCCAGGCCACTGCCAGGCCACGGCCAGGCCTGCGAAAGCTGATTAGACCCTTTGGTTCCCGACCCGCGGGGCTTGCCGGTCCTCTTTCATGGCCCTCTGCCGGGCTCTGGCCCTTGACCCTCGGGCTGCCTGCTGGCCCTGCTCGCTCTCTCCACCTTGGGTGCCCGAGAGAGACAGAGCGACGAAACCAGTGTTCGGGCCCCGCCGTGTTCCCCAACCCTGCATCGGGCCTTTCGGCGCGTCGTCGCGTGCCCCGCGCCGGTTATTGTTACAACGCGCTGCCCCGGCCGGCGGGGCCTGCACGGCCAGCACAATGAAGCACTGCGGCACCGCCAACCAATACAAACAACCCTTTGCATACGTGTTTCGCTTTTTCCTGTCGGCCGCCTGTGTTTGCGCCATCCTCTCGTGACTAGTAAGCGGGCAGGCAGGCGGGCAGGCAGGCGGGCAGTCGGTCGGGCAGGGAGTCAGTCAATCGGTTAATCAGAAAGTTGGTCAGTGTGGCAGCCGGTCGACAGTCCGCCGGAATGTGCTGCCGACTACTGTCAACTGCACAACAAAAGGGCCAGTGGCCGGCCGCTTCGCGCGCTGGCTCGGAGCGACAGGCCGACAGGCAGACAGGGGTCGGGGGCTGCACTGCGTATTGCTTTCAATCAGGGCGTTTGCAGTTAATTGGTGCCCCCTCGGGTCGGCGCCGTGCTGCGCCGTGGGCCTCGTGCGTGCCGCGCCGCAATCAAGCCCCCTCCCCTCCCCCTGTTTGACTTCAGACCGCGGGGGCGTCCCTCCCTCCTCCCCTGCGCGCTCGGCGTAGGCCCGGGAGGAGGGGGGGGGGGCGTCAAGAGGCCGCCGCCGAGACCGCCGCCCGAGAGACTGGGCGGGCGTGGCGGGCAGCGTGGAGGGGAAGGGCCTTCGCTTGCCGCTCAGCTCGCTTCACGAATAAGCCGTCGCACGCTCCGCCGTGGCGTCCGGCCGCCGCTTCCGGCCGATGACGTCATCGCGGTCCGTTCGGACCGCTCGGGCCGTCCGGACCACTCGGCTGGAAGTGCTCGTTAGCTTCTGATTCCCGCCGCGCCGGGCCGCGCCGGGCCGTGACGAGCCGAGCCGCCTGGGGTGGGCGTCGCGGTGCCGTCAAAGACGCTTTCTCATTTAGTAAGAGGCCGACCAAGGTCTTGCCAGAGCGGCAGAGGACTCAGAGTAGGCGCGGATCCAGGATCTTTCCAAGGAGGGGGTGAAGCAGTGCTTTTTCCGACAGGGTCAAAGGAGTGTGAAAGAGGGGTAACTACCCCCTACCTCCCCCCTCCCCTACCACACACACACACACCCTCCCCTTGGATCCGCCCCTGCCCTTGCCCCTGCCCGCCACGGAGCTTTGAAAGGGCGGGCGCCGCGCCCACACCGCAATGTTTTTCATTAGTTGTTCCGGTTATGACTCAAGAGTGAAATGCCAGACGGCAACAACAACAACAACAACAGAGGCCGGGAGAAACAAAACAAAACAAGAAGAAGAAATGCGTGAGACACAATAAGCGCCCCGGCAGCGCGTCATTTGACTCTTCTCAGCCGCCGTCTCGGTTTCTCAGTCCTTCACCCGCGAAACAACGGGCACAATGACGAATCCGCTCGCTGACTGTCTACCCGCTCCTTTCCTCTCTCTCTCTTCCTCCTTCCTCCCCCCCCCCCTTTCTCCTTGTCCTTGTCGTGGAGCCGTCACCCTGCACGCTCGGCCGCATTGTTGGCGGGGCGTGTTCGGAGGCAGAGGCGACAGAGGTGGGTGAACATGCTGCATTCCGGAGCGATAGAGCTAATCAGCTTGGAGCCGAGCGCTGTCACGACGATGACGTCACCGACGCCCACGCGACACCCACGTGACATCCACGTGACATCCACGTGACATCCACGTGACATCCACGTGACGTGACACACAGTGGTGCACGTGGGGATGTGGTGCGCGGGTGGGGCGCGGTGCTGGAGCTAAGCACACACGGCGCGCGACAGCTTTTCCAGCTCGGCGCGTCCACCCCGCCCCGCCGCGCCCCGCCGCCTTCACGGGCCACCGCCTCTCCTTCCATATCACTCTCCGCCGTCCCTTTCTCGGTGCCCCCACCTTTCACCACCTTGGCTCGCCTCGCCGCGCCTCGCCGCGCCTCGCCCACATTCGTACATTTTCAACCGTTTCCACCATAAGTAACGCGCCCCCTCCCAGCGTCATCACCACACTTTTACTCTCTCTCTTTCTCTCTCTCACACATACACACTCACATTCACACACACACGTACAGAGGAAGGTGCAGTGTTCCCGCATGAGCGCACCCACTAGGAGTCCCAAATAAATGACGGCCCGGGACGTGTGCTCGCGGAGTGGGTGGGGCGGATGCCGCCATCCGGGCCGCGACGATCTGCCCACGCACTCCGAGCTGCCTGCCTCCCACCACCCCCAATCACGGGCACCCGCCTTAATCCCTCCTATTCTTTTCCTGTTGTTCTCCACAAGTGGCCCCCGCATCGCGCCCCCCACGCCACGCCCCCGCAGCGCGCCCCACATGGGGCAGGTCCATTCATCATTACGACCGACACATATTGTCTCGGAAGCAGGGAGGGTCTGGCCCTGGCCCCACTGCATTGATATCTCCATATCGACCGAAATGTGGAATGCGGTTGCCCCCGCGGCCCTTCCGGTCCTCTGCGTAGTCCGTCTCTCTCCCTCCACCGTGAGTACGTGCAAGGGCGAGCCGCGGAGCCGCGGCCCTCCCGAACCTGACCGCGCGGCCCACTGCCCACGCTGGATATCGCCTGATTTAATATTCCCAATTTTTTGGGGTCCGCCTCTGGGAATATGTCTGACTTGACGGTAGTCGGCATTCCCGGGGGCGGAGCCCGGCCAAGCCCGGCCAAGCCTGGCGCGCTGGCCCACTGCCCCACCGAGGCCCCGAGCCCGACCCACTGCGCTTGCTCTTTCTTGGCGAGCGGCCCGGAGGCGCAGGCCCGGCAGGCCGGACCTCGGTCCGGAGCAGGAGCCCGGACCGCATTACTTAATGTGTAGCCGAAAATCCGGTGGCCCGGTTCCGGCTGGTTCCCGCTGGCTGCCCCCGTCGCCGCCGAGGCCGTGATCGCCGAGGGCCACCTGGTGCACGTTGCCGCCTCGCAGCGCAGGCAGGCTCCTGGCGCGCTCGGCGCAGGCAGCCCGCCAGCATTGCGTTGTGGTGCCGTGCCAGGGCCGTGCCAGGGGCGTGCCAGGGGCGTGCCAGGGGCGTGCCAGGGGCGTGCCAGGGGCGTGCCAGGGGCGTGCCAGGGGCGTGCCAGGGACGGCCGGGGAGGGTGAAAGGCCGAAAGTTAGGCGATCAATTTGGGGCCGGAGCCGAGCCGCCCAGCGCAGGGCTGCCGTGGCGCAGGGCTGCCGCGGAGGCCGCTAACGGACCGACCCAGACAGACAATTTGGATATTTCCAGTGTTGAAACGATTGGACTGCTAGGCCGGGTGAGGCGCCCTGGTCCCGCAAAACTGTCGTCCAGCCTGGCCGCCTGCCTGGCCGCCGCTCCGGCACTGTCTGCACACTCAGCAGGACGTGCCTCGCCCTTGTCAGAGTGGCGGTGGACTGTCCGGGATGTCCGTCGGCCTGTAGGCGCGTTCCCAACAGTCGCCCTGTCTCCCTCGCGCGCTTACGCGGCGCTCCTCGAGTGCGAGAGAGACAGCAGTCAGAAGGGGGTCACCCCCTGTCCGTCCCACTCTACGCGGCCAGAAATAGGCGACTCCGGCGGAGTCCGGGGGGACAAACCTAGGACAAACCCCGGCAGTCCCCTACACTGGGTGGCGCCGCCTGCCGTCGGCCTGCTGCCGGTGATGCAACAGCTTGCTGTTTGTGCGACGTCTCTAAGTGATGCCGCCGGCTGTATGGCTTCGAGGCTCGCTTCGATAAGTCGAGTGAAATGGTCGATAGCTCGATGCCGACGCCTGCCGACCCAGGGTGGACAAAAACTTGGATTCAGCCCGAAGCAACTTCCAGCTGCTTCCAGGCTGCACAGGCCGGGCAGGGCACTCAGGCAGGTGCCATTTGCCACCTCAGACAGGGCTTTCTGGCAAAACCCCGGATGACTTCCGGCAGAATGCAGCGAGGGAAGGCGCGAAGCGTTGGATTTTAGTCGTCGGACTGGTGGGCGCCACGGGGCTGCTTTGCAAGGACTTTCAGACGGGTTGGCAACATTCCTTTTATCTCTCACCGTCGCACACTGAGCTCGGCCAGGACTGTGACCCGCTCCGCTCTCTCTCGCACGCACGCAGCTCCTGATTATGCCACGTCCTGGACCACCACAATGGTGCCCTCCTTGCAGTGCTGCGCGGGTTGCTGCAGCAGCGCCTCCCGCCGAGGCGAGCATCTGCATAGACGTCTGCAGCAGCCGGAGGGGGAGGCGGGGCGCTGAAAAATTGGGCCGGATTCAGGACGAGGACGTGGGGCGCGAGCACGGTGGAGCGTTGTAACACCGTTAGGGGAACCACACGTGAATTGAAATGAAATCCCCCGCGCACCGTCTTTGCACTCCTGTGGTCTCATTAAGAAGCACCGAGATGTTTCGGGGCTTGGAATACGTAATGAACCCCCCGCCCCACCCCGTGCACCGCGACGCCCCACTGTTAGCGGGGATCTCAGCCGAGTGCAAGCCA